ACCTAGTGTTTGCGTCCCCATTACTTTTCCAAGCTCCCATTGTCGATAACCTTCCTTTCAGCTCCTAAGCTTTATCCTTAGTCAAGGCACCCCACCTAATCCTCGGGCGGCCTCGTACTGACCTCTTCTTCCTCCTTATCATACTACCAATGTCCATCACCAAAAGTCTATGCTGCGTTGCAAGGGTCTCGCCTGGGATAACTTTGCAGTCCTCGCACAACCTTCTGTCGCATCTTCTGAGAAGGAGATAGTCAATCTGAGTTTTTGCCACCGAACTTTGGTAAGTAACCAAATGCTCCTCCCGCTTCGGAAAACTTGAGTTTGCAATCACTAGATCGAATGCCTTGGCAAAGTCCAACAATGAAGTGCCCCCTCCGTTCCGCTCCCCGAAACCAAAGCCGCCATGCACCTCAGTATAACCACCTGTAGACGACCCAATATGACCATTGAAATCTCCTCCTATGAATAACCTCTCGGAAGGCGGAATACTACGAATGATGTCGTCCAACCCCTCCCAAAAGTGCCTTTTAGTCTCCTCATCCAAGCCTGCTTATGGCACGTACGCGCTAACGACATTTAAAGTACACTCACCCACCACAAATTTAATAGTCATTAGTCTATCATTCACCCGCCTGACCTCTACCACCGACTCTCTAAGATGGCTATCTACCAGGATACACACTACGTTCTTACCCCTCCGGACTCTAGAGTACCACAACTTATACCCATCAGCATTTTTCGCCCTCGATCCAACCCACCTAGTCTCCTGGACATAAGCTATATTAATCTTCCTCTTCTGAAGGATCTTCGCCGACTCTATAGACTTAATAGTTAGTGAACCTATGTTCCATGACCCGATTCTCAACCTATAGGCTCCCTTGCCCCCTCTACCTCCCCTGCTTCCCATCCCACCCCCTGACCCCGGCCCCACACTCTGCCCCACCCGAGGACATGCCCCTATTCTATCATCCCAGACTGCAGCCACTACACCTACGACAATCTAAAGAAGACTCGCTAGTGCACAACGGACAACGAATCAAACTACAACGAAACAAGTGACTACTAGTACACTAGTTGAATGATTGAACTATTGTGAACTAGAGTAACATCAATTTAGCTAACACCAAAAGGGAAACAGTAGAAGGGGAGGTACCAACTCCCGAGAACCAAACCTGTGTTGATTTGCTGTACTTGATGTAGTTGTACGTTCACGCACCGCTTCCCACCTCCCTTTGCTGACGCTCTTCCAGGTTGCTCTCCTTTTCTAGTGCTCGTGCGCCCAACTGGTCTCCAACAACTTCGAGAATTTCCTTGAAAACACAGAAAATACCACGACCCAAAAACCAAAAGGGGCTGTCACCGCTACCACTGGTGTAACCCTGACAGTAGTAGGGAAATGTAGGGAAAAACAGAGAACTACAAAAAAATTCACCAAGTTCTACCGTGGTACAACCAAATGAACAGATCAAAACTTTAAATCATTGACCAGATCTGCAGATTAAACAATCAATAGCATTTCAAAGGAATCCTAAAGAGATGGTAAGAGTCAGAATGTTGAAACAATCAAAACCACTAACTTTAACATTAAGCATGTAATAATATTTCAAATAAAAACTCCAAAAAAATTGGTGCGATTGTCCTAAAAATAGCAAACAACTGTCGGAGCTACTAATCCAATACAAGTTTCTACTTCAAAGAAACATTCTAGTAAAACGACCACAAAGCATGAAAAGCATTCAAGAAAAAAGCCAAATATGAAAGTAAAGGGTAAATGCAAATATTGAGAAAAAAGCAGCCAATGAGGCAGAAGGAAAAATGAAGCAGAAGAAACAATCAAAAATAAATAAATTAATAAAATCAAAACAGTAGCAGATCTCCTTTATATCTACTGCAAAACAAACCTCATTAGCTAAGCCTCAAAAGAAGGGGAGGGGGCGTAGGAGATGAGGGGAGGGAGGGGTTACTTGCTGGGGTGGGTGTTACAAAAGAAGGGGAGGGGGCGTGAGAAATGAGGGGAGGGAGGGGTTACCTGCTGGGGTAGATGTTACCTGCTGGGGTGGGTGTCGCCGGCATGGGTGGATGGTCTGGTTTTTGACCGTTGGGGATGGGGACGGGATGGTTCCGAGAGAGAGAGAGAGAAATTCCGATCTATGGGGATGGGATGGTTCACCTAAAAAGAAATAGTAAAACATTCAAAGATTCTTAATTAATCTCCCACTAAAATTTATTAATTATCCAATTATCCACATAATTAAGAATTATCTAAAATTCTTAAAATACTACTCACTGTTAATACACTTTATACATCTTACTATCATGGTCATGTGGTACTTTGTACAACACTAACCCATAAATACGTGGTATTATAGATTGAACCATATTTTATCTCCAAATGTCAAATTTGACCAACCTCATTTTCTTCAATTCGCTTACCCTCTCACCTTCACGAATTTACTTATCACTTGCTTGAAATAGCATAATACTTATAATCTCCAAATAATATTGTCCTTGAACTGATGTCAATTATCTTACGACAAATTCATCGCACAATACTACATGGCGTAACATCGTCGTAATATAATACTGCAGAGCGTAACATCATCGTAATATAATACTATGGAGCGTAACATCATCGTAATATTGCAGGGCATAACATCTCAAGCCAAAGGAAGAGTTCAGATCCCTATCACTCGTACTCCGAAGCAGCCTCTTATAGTAGCTAGACCTAAGATTTTACTTGCATGTGTGCCGATGAGCAGAAAAGATTGGAGAGGTTTCAAAGGTTGTTTCCTCAACACTTTGAGGGTTGTGTTTCAGAGGATGCCCAAGTTTTTTTAGACATATGTCACCAGATGCTTCGCAATTTGGGCTTATAGAGTCCAATAGGGTGGACTTCAGGACTTTTCAGTTTAGAGGAGCTGCCCGGAGATGGTGGTAGACTTATGAGCTAGGCAGACCAGCAGGTTAACCTCCACTTACTTGGGCTCAGTTTTCGTAGTTGTTCCTTGAGAGGTACATCCCACACACGAAGAAGGATGAATTGAGAGGCTAGTTTGAGCATCTTCAGTAGGATCGTTTGACTGTGATTGAGTATGAGGCGATATACACAGATTTGTCTCGTCATGTTTCTATTTTGATCACTGCCGAGGCTAAGAGGGTGATGGGATTCATTTGAACTACGACATTAGGATTTCTATGACTTGAGGTTCGGAGATTGGGACTACTTTCCACAAGGCTATGGAGATAGCTCGGAGGATCGAGCATATTCGTAGTTAGGAACAAGAGGCTATAGAGAGAGACAAAAGGCCTCATCATTCTGGTGGCTTTAGTGGTGCCTCATCTGGAGGTTGAGGTCAATTCAACAGAGGCCATCATGGTAGGACAACTCATTCTACACCGCATATGGCCGTGGAGTAGCGTCTCGACCTTCTTTGAGTACCCTAGTTTCATCGTCTTTGAGTGCTCTCCCAGCGTGTTCACACCGTGCTTCGTCTATTAAGGGTTCCCCTAGTGGGTATTCAGGCCCTCAAGGGCAGATTCCGATTCAGCAGCCTCTGTCAGGTAGAGATTGTTATAAGTGTAGAGAGGTAGTGTCCCAGGATTTTTAGGGACGCTGCTCCACAGTTGGTTAACCAATGGTTTCGGCACCAGTCTCTCCACCCTCTTCCTAGATATTTAGAGGTGGAAGAAGTGCATCTAAAGGTCGCTCGAGAGGGGGAGTCCAGGTTGGTAGAGCTTTTACTTGTGGTGTTCAGGCTCGATGCTATGCTTTTCTGGGTAGACCCGAGGCAATGGCCTCAGATGTAGTGATTATAGGTATGGTTTCGGTTTATTATAAAGATTCATCTATGTTGTTTAATTAGGGGTCTACTTATTCTTTTATGTCATTATATTTTGCTTCTTAGTTGGATATGACTCGTTGTTCTCTTGATATTCCTATTCATGTATCTACACCTATTGGTGATTCTATTATGGTGGATGGTGCGTATCAGACTTGTGGAGTTACTATTGGGGGGTTATAAGACTAGGGTTGATCTTCCGTTGCTTAATATGGTGGACTTTGATGTGATCTTGGGTATGGATTGGCTATCTCTGTACCATGCTATTCTTGATTGTCACGCTAAGACCATGACGTTGGCTATGCCGGGGTTGCCAAGGTTGAGTGGAGGGGTTCTTGGTCATACTCCTCGTAGAGTGATCTCATTTTTAATGGCTTAACGGATGGCCGAGAAAGGTGTTTGGCGTATTTAGATTTTGTTAGATATATTAATACTGAACTCCTACTGTTAAATAAGTTCTAGTAGTGAGGGAGTTTCTGTATGTGTTTCCTGCAAACCTACCAGGCATGTACTCGATAGGGATATTAATTTGGTATTCATTTGGTGCCGGTCACCCAACCCATATCATTCCACCGTATCGCATGGCTCTAACTGAGTTGAAGGAATTGAAGGAGCGGTTGCAAAAGTTGTTGGATAAAGGGTTCATTTGTCTGAGTGTTTCACCTTGGGGTGCGCCAATATTGTTTGTGAAGAAGAAGGATGGTTCCATGAGTATGTGATTGATGATAGGCAGTTGAACAAGGTGACTATCAGGAACAAGTATCCATTGCCTCGCATTGATGATTTGTTTGATCAGCTTTAGGGTGCCGGGTGTTCTTGAAAATTGATTTGAGATCGGGTTATCGCCAATTGAAGATCAGGGCTTCAGACATTCCTAAGATGGTTTTCAAGACTCGTTATGAGCATTATGAGCTTCTGGTGATGTATTTTGGTTAGACTAATGCCCTAACAACTTTTATGCATTTGACGAACATTGTTTTCTAGCCTTATTTGGATTCTTCTGTCATTATATTCATTGATGATATATTGGTGTATTCTGGTAGTGTCGAGGATCACAAGTAGCATTCAAATATTATGCTTTAGATTTTGAAAGAGAAGAAGTTGTATGATAAATTCTCCAAGTGTGAGTTTTTGTTGGACTTAGTGGCCTTCTTGGCCCACATGGTGTCTAGTTATGGGATCAAGGTGGATCTGAAGAAGATTGAGGCAGTTCAAAGTTGGCCTAGACCTTCAACCGCTGCAGATATCTGGAGTTTCCTAGGTTTGTCTGGTTACTATCATCATTTTGTGGAAGGATTCTCATCTATTAAAGCCCCATTAAGCATGTTAACTCAGAAGGGCCTGACGAGTGTGAGGAGAGCTTTTAGAAGCTTAAGACTGCTTTGACTACATCTCCATTTTTGGTGTTGCCTTCAGGATCAGGAATGTATATTGTCTATTGTTATGCTTCACGCGTTGGCCTAGGATATGTGTTAATGTAGGACAGTAGTGTGATTGAATTTCTACTGTGCTAGGTTAAACCCCATGAGAAAAACATTCTAGTACATGATTTGGAATTGACAGCTATTGTTCACGCGCTCAAGATTTGGAGGCACTACTTGTATAGCATGTCTTGTGAAATTTAAACTCACTAACAAAGTCTTCAACATCTAATTCAAGCAAAAGGATTTGAATTTGAGGCAACAGAGGTAGTTGGAGTTGTTGAAGGACTATAATATCACTATCTTGTATTGTCTGGGCAAGGCTAATGTGGTAGCGGATGCTTTGAATAGGAAGACGGAGAGTACGGAGAGCTTGGCATCTATTCCAACTTTAGAGAGGCCTTTTACTATGGATTTTCAGTCTTTGGACAATAGATTTGTAAGATTGGAATATTTTGAGCCTAGCAGGGTTCTTGCTTGTGTGGTTGCACAGTAGTTCTTGTTTGAGCAGAACATGGCTCGTAAGTATGATGAACCTCATTTTCTTGTCCATAGGAACCAATGTTGCGAGGTGGTGCAAAGGAGGTGGCTATTAGACATGATGGTGTGTTGCGACTTTATGATCAGAGTTGTGTTCCTAATGTGGATGGTTTGAGGGAGTTGAGTCTTTAGAAGGATCATAGTTCGCGGTATTCTATTAATCCAGGTGCTATGAAGACGTGCCGTAATTTGAAGCAGCATTATTAGTGGAGGATGATGAAGAAGGACATTATTTTGCATGTGTCTTGGTGTTTGAATTGCCATTAGGACAAGTATGAGCATAAGAGATCGGGTAATTTGCTTTAGAGGTTAGAGATAACACGATGGAAGTGGGAGCGCATTACCATGGATTTTATGGTAGGACTGCCACAGACTTTGAGGAGATTTGATGTTGTTTGGGTCATTGTGGATAGACGGACCAAGTCTGTGCATTTCATTCCGCTCATGACTTCTTACACTTCAGAAAAGTTGGCTCAGATGTACATTAGAGAGATTTTCCCTTGCATTGTGTGCATGTGTCTTTCATTTCAAATCGGGGCACTTAATTTACTTTACATTTTCGGGGAGCTGTTCTACGTGAGTTGGGCATGCATGTGGAGTTGGGTACTGCTTTTCACCCTTAAATGGATGGGCAATATGGGCGGACCATTAAGATCTTAATTGGAGGATATGTTGAGAGCATATGTTATTAATTTTGGAGGCTAGTGGGATCAGTTTCTACGATTAGTGGAGTTTTCATAAAACAATTAGAAGTCTAGTATCCAGGTGTTTCATACGAGGCATTATACGAAAGGCGATGTCGTTCTCTGGTTGGTTGGTTTGAGCGTGGGTAAGGCTTGGTCGTTGGGTGCAAATTTGGTTCGTGATGCTGTAGAGAAGGTGAAATTGATTTAGGAGTGACTTCGTACAACACAGTCCAGGCAAAATAGTTATAGTGATAGGAAGGTTTGTGATGTGGCTTTCATAGAGGGTGAGAAGGTTCTTCTTCGAGTTTCGCCTATGAAGGGCGTGTGGGATTTTGGAAAGGTGTAACGATGCAAATTGAAGAGTCGCATCGGGAACCTAAGCCTTACTTGCCGAGCACCAACATTACGTATCCTTAACCATACTATCATGCGTAAATGGGTCAGAAGGGTCTTCATAAGATAAATATAATAAAACGTAAGGGAATACTCGATACAGGACAACCCCAAAATGATAAGCATGAAATACACGGGCCTACAAGGCCGAACAAAATATCTATACACATGATATCTGTCTACAAGCCTCCAAGGAGTACATAAACAACATAAGGTCGGGACATGGCCACGCCATACCCATAAACATATATACATAAGTATACTGACTCGAAAGGAAACTCCGAGGCAAGTGGAGTGCAACAACACTTCCTGCTATACCGGTAACCTACTGGGAGGATCATCAACCTGTTTATCAGGACCTGCAGCATGACATGCATCGTCTATAAATAAAAGAGACGTTAGTGCGAATAAAGTACTGAGTATGTAAGGCAGGAACACATAAATAAGAACAGTAATGTAAAGAGAGATAGGGAAGATACAACCTATAGCATCTGAGTGCCTTTGAGGGCAATTGACATGAAATGCATAACATATATATATATATATATATATATATATATATATATATATATATATATATATATATATATATATATATATATATATATATATATATATTTAAAAACGTACGCCTTTGTGGCATCATCATCATCATATCATACCTGACTTTAATAAGATTCGGTAATGTCTCATGTCATATCATAACGTACCTGGCCTCAAAGAGGACTCGGTCGTACCCATCCTTAATAAGATTCGGTAATGTCTCTTGTCATATCATAACGTACCCGATTTCGAATAGGACTCGGTCATACCCGACCTCTAAGAGGACTCGGTCGTACCCGTCCATGTGGAGATCGGTATAACCCAACTGATTAGTTGTTGCACAATAGGTGTCGTACCCGGCCGACTATAGCACGGCTCGGTAGAGTAAAATAGGTACATATATATATAATGTATGCTGGACTGATAGAATCACATTTGGAACCTTTCGAACTGACGTAAGGTGAGTAACCTGCGTATACATTATTAGATCTAACTCGTCATCATGAATATTATAAGAATCATGAAATACCAACAATGGATAACATAATAATAAGAGAAGCAACATCAACATCAATATCAATCATTCCATAAGAAGGGAAACAATGTAAATATTGCTAGCTTCCAAGAGTGGAGTATCTTTGGAAGCTCGTTCATTTACGTTAAGTACAATTGGAGTAATGCAAAATAAAGAAAGGGATAGCCTCACATACCTTGTATATACTTCCCAACCTCAAGCTACACAAATGTCACGACTCCTTAGTCTATAATAAGAGAAATGATACAATCGTTATCGTTTATGCGTCGTAACTATTATGTATTGACCACAACCTATTTTACGATAAAATGGGAAGCACCTCCCCTATCTATATGATTTCCAACAAGCTAAAACAATCACCAAACAACCCAAAAAACATCAACAATAATCATATTTAGCACAAACAGTCCAACAATCAACAACAATACACCTACATTTTTCAGAAAGTTGGGTAGCACCTATATCACTTCCTTCCAATTCAAACCAACATAAAAAACAACACGAACAACATAAAAAAGAACACATCCAAGCTAATAAATCAAGAACCAGCCAAAACCTAGCTCAAAAACCTTCCAAAATAGTCCTATACGCACAACACCTCACACATACTCCTAACGTCAAGTTTAACATGTTTTCCTCCAACATCTGGGCTTGCTATGGCCTAAATAAGACTCAACCCAAGTAGATAGGAGAATAACATACCTTATGGAACACAAATACCCAATTTTCAGAGCATAATTCATTGTTATGTCTTCCTCAATCAGCCACAAGGAGAGAAAGAGGCAAACTATCGACTAGTTCGGGTTCCTAAGGCTTGAATCTACTTGTTTCACCTTCTCCACCTTTGATTTAGATTCCAAACCCTAAGGATATAATTAGGATGTCTAGAGATAGTTTTAGGTCTGATTTGGGTCGATAATGAGGCTTTGAGATGAAGGCCCCAACTCTATATATCAAGATAATCCTCAACAGACCTCGTGGGTCCCAAAGGGAGCTGCTTGAGCAGTCTAGCAAAAACGCGAATATCTCTCTCTACTATGATATCGTATTGACAGAAGGTTTAATAAGTTGGATAGACTCATAGATATTCAATTTGGTGGGTGGATCATCCCGTAAATCCAAGTACATTGAGATTAAATTTTAGTGACATTAGACCGAAATTTCAGTAAAAAATTATGAACGTAACTTGTGACGACTTTTGTTTCACAATTCCTTTGACTTCAAAACCTAACACACGAATATCATACGACTAATACACCTTATAAATTTCCTTCTTATCTTGTTAATAACCTTAGTCTCATACCAAAAGTATAGGTTATTACATTCCCAACTTGCTGACTTTCGACGAAACTTATTTTCTTCGATTCGTTTAGCTTCTAAACCTTCCAACTCTCATTGTACTTCTTTAAAACTTGTCTTAACCCATAATTATATTTGTAAAGGTTCTTCAACAATCCGGCTTATATTGCTTCACTTAATATTAATTGTAAAATGAAAGTACGGGGTATAACATATTTCCCCTCTTTGGAACATTTGTCCTTGAATGTAAAGGAGTCTTAGTGGAGAAACTAGATCTTATGGATTTTATAGAAATTTTGATAGAGTCTCCTCTGTAAATAGGACTATCCCATACCTTTGTCCAAATAATTCTGCTCCTAAAAATGCTGCCATCTTCAATTCTTAATATCATTTAATCATAGAATGATGTTAACCATAATCACATGATCGAGATACAGTCGTTAAGGACCTTCTATCTAGAAAAAATGAGGGTACTTTGTCACGCCCCGACCACGGGGTGCGCGATGGGCGGTCAATCAAGATAACCCAGCCAAGCACTCCTGTACAATGCCTTCTACCCAAACTCACCCATGAATAAAGAGAAGAAAGATTTCATTAATTAGACAATGGGGAGGTTACATGAACAATCCAAATTTCATTACCATTAGAACTTCATTAAAGATTTTCCAAAATATTATATTACACATTCATAGTTTAGAAGTGGAAGCATATGATACAATTACAACATTTCTAATTTGTCAAGTAGTGACGAGATCAGGTCAGGGCCCTACTGGTATATATATAATAAAATAAGACATAATGAAATATCGCAGTAAAAATAAATAGTAAAACTTAACAAGAATGTAATCACAGAAAAATAACAACTCAGAGCACAGAGATAACATTAGGGGATCTCCCATGATACCGTCATGTAGTCCCAAACGTAAATGTGTAGGGGGTCTACGGGAATACCATTCCGTAGTCCCAAAGTAAATATGCAGAACTGTGGGATCTACCGAAATACCATTTCGTAGTCCTAAGGTAAATATGCAGAACAGGGGAATCTACCGGAATATTGTTCCGTAGTCCCAAAGTAAATATGCAGCTCAAACAACAGAAATAAATAGTTACAGCGAGAAAACCTACAATTTCGACTAAGTACAAGTCAAGGAAAAACAAGAATTTCACTAATATGCTGCACAGAGTTCAGATATGCAATTAAGGCAAGTAGACATGTTATTCTAAGATAACAAGATACAACACATGCTGATATAACTCAAATAAGGAGAAGAACGGATTATTACTCAATGAAAATCGGGTTTTTACACAATTAGACCGTGTACGTACTCGTCACCTCACGTACACGGCGCTCACATATCAGAAACAATACCAATCCTAAGGAGAGTTTCCCCCACATAAGGTTAGGCAAGCCACTTACCTCGAACCAAGCTCAAATCAATCTGTCACAATGCCTTTCCCATGAATATCGGGCTTCGAGTGGCCCAAATCTGGACGAAATCAATTATATAACATAAATATAACTGTAAAAAACTAATCTAGCTAATGAATTCAAAGCTAACGCAAGATTTAGGAAAATCGCCCAAAAAGCCTCCCCGAGCCCACGTCTCGGAATCGGGTAAAAGTCACAAATTATGAACACCCATTTACTCACGAGTCTGACCATACAAGAATCACTC